CCTTTTTAAATCCTGTAGCCCCTAGCATCTATGAAAATGAAGATATTAAAAAAGGAATCCTCTGTCAACTGTTTGGAGGAGCAAACAAGGATTTTGCTGACACTGGAAGAGGAAAGTTTAGGTTTGTATGGTTTGCCTTGATAGTAATTATAACTTGATAAGGAAATTATTGTTATTCTCTTTGTTTCCTTAATAATTTCTTTGTTTTGGTAGGTATGGAAAATCCAATTCTTTTTATTACGATGTTGTCATTTTAGATCAGAGGTGAATATTCTTCTTTGTGGTGATCCTGGAACAAGCAAGTCACAGTTGTTACAGGTAAATTAACAATATATTGAAAGCCAGTAGCTTTATAATTTAACTCTAATAGTTGGTTCAGAAAGTGCAAATATTATATAACAGGTGAATAAGTAAATTTATTATTTTAAAGGATTGTCTTTACACTCTCTGAGCATGGTCAATGTAAAATTTAAGTGCAGTCTTCTGTTCATGCTTTTTCATGTAGTACTTTTGTACATTTGTATTTACTATTTGTTGAAAAGAAATGACACATCAAACGCAAAAGACTGTGTAAACCATATTAGTTTCCCAAAAACCTAGGAGAGAGTTGAAAATACAACATGCAGAAGAATATTATTTTTGACTAGTTTGAGATGTTTGGAGATGTGTTGAAACAGTGTGGTGAATGTTTGATATATCAATCCAAACTAAAACTAAGGAGAAATTAAAGGAATAAAATCGTATAAGTCTATGCTGTTTAAGATTGGATAACCAAATTAGCACCTTCATAGTTATGATTTCCTTTGTTTTAACTTCGTGAATTGTTAATAAGTTTTTGAAGGATAAGGAGAGGTGTGCTATTTGGTTGGTTGGGTGTAGTAAAGAGTAATTTGAGAAACAAGCAAGTGATCATGTCTCTGAATGGTCAGCATTGATTTATCCTTTATTTTGTTTTTAGTATGTTCATAACCTTGTGCCTCGTGGTCAGTACACATCTGGCAAGGGTTCATCTGCAGTTGGTTTGACTGCTTATGTCACAAGAGACCCAGAGACAAGGCAGCTGGTGCTACAGACGTAAGTTCTCCAGGGCAAAACAAGCTGATGGAATTGGTACAAATTCCTAAACTAAATTTCGTTTGAAATGTTTAGTCCAGGAAATGATTAAGTCCTCATTATTATCCAGCTCATACGAAAACCCAGCTGGCTTTTCTCCTGTGGAGACTCCCATATAAAAAGGATGGGGGTACTGGTGGAAAATTGTGAAAAGAATCCCTAACAGGACTACCAAGATCCTGTTTTGTGGGTATTTTTACCCTTAAGAGGTACCAATTCTAAAACAACACATTATCTCTTGTCATTAAATCAGGTCAATATCTTAAAAGGTACCACAAAAGCTCCCACTGTGGACCTTTTGAGGCTGAACACCCTAAGAGGTAACAAAACTGCTTTACACCTTTTGCTGTTCATTTACAGAAAATATCCATTCATTTGAGTTCAAATTTGTTTCATTATGGTCAATATACTCTCATTAACACCAATACGACATTCATTTGCACGTAAGGAACGTTCAAGAATAACATTTGCATATGTATTAACATTCAAAATCATCAAAAGATAAACAATACCTTGACATTCATTAGCTCTAAATGTATTTTCATTTTGGTCAAAAAAAAAATTCGTCATGAAACGACAATCATTTACACTTTTAAACAATGCTTTTTCAACAAAAGACCTTGAATAACAGAATTTGCATGAGCACTCACAATCAATTGCATTATTATACAACCATATTCGTGAAGGTGACAATCTTTAGTACGTTGAGACAGACATTACTGTGTTTTACCTAACGTTAAGAGAAAACAATAGCTCATTAGCATAATTCTTTTGAACAGAGATATCGTGCCCAATTTTCCTCAAAAAGTTTGATTATAGAACTGGGACCGTATGTACCTTCTTTTAATCTTATTTTCACAATCCTCCCCTTGCAGATATAAATTCAGCCCCTTATGAACCTTTTACGTACAACTCAGAGGGCGCACTACAGTATACATGTGATAAAGTGACAGTTGATTTCCCCACAAATGCCACGAAGAAATAGAATCCCATTTGAACACAGCAAAAGGATAATGTAAACTTTACTTGTAAAGTATAGTTAACCACAAGAGCTTATTATTACTGTCCATCGATATGTCTCAGCCACAGAGATGCTATTCTGTTATTGTGCAAGTGCATTACGAACTTGCCAAGGAACTTGATACCATAAACAATGGACACTACTAGCTATGTTGTCTCGGTATCCTTCTCAACAATTAGGGCTCATGTCAAAGGTATTAATCCTATCCATTACTACTGTATGATCATCTTACTTTATCAGTTGTACTATCTCCTACATATCTGATTTCAACAAACAGTACTCACGAACATGTTATGCTACACCACTCTTTGTACCAGTAGCACGCTAGGCACGTCAGCTATTTTTTCTCCGCTAGTGCTAGTGTCCACTCTCATTGCTATCCCAGGGAGCACCCAGTGTTCATGGTCCCATTTACTACCAGATTTGTCTTGTTATTTTTTGTCTATACAATATTATTAGAGAGCGAGTTGTTGTTAATCAGGGCCTAAATGTGGACAATGGTATCGTTTCATGCAAACATATTTGCCAAGATGTATGGGTTATTGACCAAGTGTGAGGTCAAGATGGCTGGATATTGGCCAAGTTCTTTTTTTGCCAGTTTAT